AATTAAACGGTTAAGATCATCGCAAAAATATTTGGGCAATAAATAAACGCTCATCGAATACAAGGGGAGAGCCTGTGCCACCGTTTTGATAAGAATTTCTTTCCCTGCACTGCTTAAGAGTTTTCCTTTCCAGCTAAATAATTTTTTGCCCAATCGTTCCTTGAGATGTGCAAACGAGGAACCTTTGTTCCTACCAACTACCATTGGAAGCCCAAGATACTTATCATAATGATCAGCACATGAGACACCGAGGGATGCTGCTAGATCCAGTTGGTCTTGGCGCTTAACATTTTTGCTAAAGCAAATTGCACTCTTCTGTAAATTAACTTGTTGACCGGATACCCACTCATACCAAGAGAGTGCCTCCTTAATTGTCCCGCAATCCCTCACATTTGCACGGGCAAACAAGTAGCAATCATCTGCGAACAGGAGGTGGTTGATTGGGGGAGCACCCCTACAAATGAAGACTCCTTGTAACCGCCCATCCCTTTCTGCCTGTGTAAGAAAACTAGAGAAACCTTGTGCACATAGAATAAATAGATTAAAAAATAAAATTTTAAAATAGAAAGTGATAGAATATTTTATTAACAACAACAGATTCATAGTAATTTTCACAATAGTTAATTAAAAAACATTTGTTTACAAAACTAGTTGTTTTATATAAAAAAATAAACTAGTTTATTAAGAACGTCTGTTTTCTCTAGAAAAAAAAACACTGACATTTAAAATAAAAAAAAAAAAACTAACCTTTAGAGTAAAAAGGTGGTAAGAAAAGGTGACATTTTTTTTCTTCTCTAAAGTAACATTTTTTCTTATTTGATTTTTTAACAAGGTGGTAAGAAAGTTTTAAAAAAACTACTCTTGTAAAAAAGTCAATATATTTAATAAGAGTAAATTTGGAAGACAAAACTTAGCTTGTGTGATGCATTAATGACACTGTTTGAAGTGTAAAGAAAGTTACACATGTCAAGAAGAGAAAGGAGAAGGTCCAAAGAGAAGGTTGCTAACATTCTCCTTTAAAAAAACAAGCTTCTTTTAAAATTAAGTTATTTTTTAGGTCGTTGACATTTTTTATTTGTTTTTTGTGAAAAGATTCATATTTTAAAATTGAAATTGTTTGAGACTTCGTAATTTTAGTGATAAAGCACCTAAACTAAATCATGACGAGAGTTTGACTCTTCTTCTTCTATTTTTTAGGTCATATATATATAGTCTTGGGCCTCAATTATTCATAAAAACAAATAAGTACGAAACTTTGATTTCCCCGGATCGGCATGTGAGGTTGTGGAAGGCTCACCCCTACCTATAGTAGTTATGATTTCTAGCAATTGGGCTAGACCATGTGGTTTTCTGCTTAGTGGGTCATTTATTCAACGTGTTTAGGTGAGAGGGTCTGGTAAGGTATGGTATAAACATGAGCGAATATCCACACACAAAAACAACTAACTGGTGAATATTTTTAATTACGATATGGGATCGCCAAGGAATGTCACATTGCTTTAGATCTATATGTAAATTGTACATGTATACATATATGTAGTTTTATAGTTGGTTTATAAAATTTTTTTATAAACAAGATATATAGTCAAACTCACTAGAAATAATATATATATATATATAGAAATTCTCTTATGCGGACATCCGGACGTTATTATCGTGCGGACGCAGTGTATTTTGTACTACCCCTCTCTGTTTTCCTGCCTGTTTACAATAGGATCCGCACGATAATAACGTGCGGACATCCGGATAAGAGAATAACTGTATATATATATATATATATATATCAGTCCCCTTCTATTGAGGGATCCCTTAAATAATTTTATTTGAGGGATGTCATTTAGGGTGCCCTACAATTTTTTTTCAATGATCCAAACCATCTATTTTTTAGGTCTTCATTCATAGATCATCCTTACAAAAAATTAGACAAATCGGAAACCGTTTCGACATCCAATTGTGTCCTACAAAATCAATGAACACGGTGCTTCAAGAAAGTTCTAAAATTTCAATAACTCAATTGAGTGGTCAAATGATATCGGATTCAAGTGATTTTTTGTAGAAATGATCTTTGAATGAGTATCTACAAAATAGACGTTTGGATTAGTGAAATACAATCCGGAGTGGGCTCTACAAAAGGTGTCCCTCAAATAAGCTTATTTAGGGGATAGAGATCCCTCAATGAAAACTCTATATATATATATATATTGACGACACTTTTTTAACCAAATATCTTATGATTTCTTTTTCATATTTCTTTTTTTGTTGTGTACTCTTTTGGGAGGAGGAAAAAGGAATAAATCCCTCACCATGTCACTCTCCATGACAAAAAAGAAAGTGAACACCTGATTGGGCATTAAGTTGGTAGTTCAATAAATTAGTCAAAATTCAATGAAAATATAGGTAGGTGTGCGTAATTTACCACATAACAATAGATCCCGAGTTGTTTTATTAAAAACTACAGATGAAACATAGGATGTCAAATTCCATTAAATGGTCAATGTATAACTTTCAAAATTTGAGTTTCAATACACAAATTCTGGAGATTAAGTCCTGCAGGAATTTTATGGGTTGGAGAAGTCATCTTTGAGTGAACTTCTTGTAGGGCTCTTTAATAATTTTCTCGACCATGCAAATTAATCAAACGGCCCCAATGATGGAGCCGTGATTGACAATGACAATTCAACTTTTTTTTTTCTTTGAAAATTAAGAGTATAGGACCCTTTTTTCCTTCTTTCCCTATCTCTTATAAATGTTCATATGTTTCTTGATTTCTTGCTCCTTCCTTCAGCCTTTGTGAGTATCTCTTGAGGTAAGCATACAACCTGAACCTGATTCTTGTTGGGGACAAGGACTCGTGCATCACATGCTTGAGTTGAGAAAAATATCATCATCCACGGCCCTGTGAATACGGATATTGGTTGACATATGATATGTTACACACAAAGCTCAACAGGTCTTAAATTTGATTAGCATCGAATCTATAATAGATTACAAATTATTTCTGGGTGTGTGATTTCAATTCATAGTTTGAAAACAGAATATAACATATGCCTAGTATATTGTATTACATATACGATAATTTTTTATTTTTAAATAATTTGACATATGTTATCATATTGTAACAGGACACTGATGTTTTGTGGCTAAGGAACCCGTTCTCAAGACTAAGCAAGAACGAAACTGAGGATTTACAAATAAGCACAGATAATTTCTATGGAGATCCATGGAACGAAAAACATCCAATCAACACTGGCTTCTACCACATCAGATCGAACAACAAGACCATTGCACTGTTTGATAGATGGTACACCATGAAGGACAATGCCACGGGACAAAAAGAGCAGGATGTCCTATTCGACCTAATCCGAGGGGGGATCATTGGGCAGCTGGGACTTAGGGTTAGGTTCTTGGACACCCTTTATTTCAGTGGCTTTTGCCAAGATAGCAAGGACTTTGGGGCAGTGACCACTGTCCATGCCAACTGTTGTCGGAGCATCGTGGCCAAGGTTAATGACTTGAAAGCTGTCCTCCAGGACTGGAAGCAGTTCAAGAAGACCATGGCCCAGAAAACAACTGCCGGTCTAGCAGCAGATGGTTTCCAATGGTCACGCCACTGGGGATGCAAGAAGTCATGGAAATCCTAATAACAATGGGAAAGCAACTCATAAGGTCTAAAGAGAGACATTAATCATATAAGAAACAAATAGTTTTTTTTCTGTTTCTTTCCAGGTGTAAGGGTAATTTCGTTGGGCTAATTTCGTTGAATACATCTTAGGTTATTGCTTCTTCTTTTCTCAGTATTATCAAAATAAATTTATATGTAATTTAAAAAGGGTGAATTCGGAAACTGTAATATAAATTAAGGATTTAGAATGTCTTATAAGGGTCTTCTCAATTTTTCTTAGAGCATTGTTTTATTTTACCCATCATTTTATAAATCTATGTGGAAAACCTAATTTCAAACTTAAATGACCAGTAAGATATAAGAGATCATAGTATTCCTATGTTTTTACATCGTTTCTATCAAACTTCATATTTTATTTATAATTTATTTCAAGCATTTCATTAACTGCCATAATTGTAATTAAAACTCCCTATTAATAGCATATCAATCACCCCATTTCTTTTGATTGTCATTCCCTCTAACATATCACCCCCTAAAATTGCAAACGAAAAAAAAAATTATGTAAATTACATATCCAATAATGTACATATGAAAATTTTAAATATATACGTATAAAAATATAGGTATATTATTTACCAAAAAAATTAAAAAAAAACTAGGTCAGTTACTTTGTAATTGAAATTTCCATACATTTTTCATAAATTAAAAATTGGTACACAATAATTTATAGAAAATAGGTACGTTGTATAATTGAAATTTATGCACATTTTTTATAAATTAAAAATAGGTACATTATTTAGAAGAAACAAATAAGTTTATTATACTAAGTAAATTGTTTTACTAGGTACATATTATTAGAGAAAAAAAATAGGTACATTAGTTAGAGAGAAAAAATAGGTTCATTTTAAAAAAAATTCATAAAACAAAATATAAATATATTATCAAATTATTTTTCATAAAACAAGTAATAGGTGCATTATTTAGAGAAAAAAATAGGTACAAAATTTAGCGAAAAAATAGGTTCACTATGCTGGGTAAATTGTTTTATTAGGTACATTATTAGAGAAAAAAATAGATACATTATTTGGATAGAAAAAATAGGTTCATTTTAAAAAAAATTGTTTTCATAAAACAAACAATAAAAAGACGATCAAATTATTTTTCATAAAACAAGTAATAGGTGCTTTATTTAGAGAAAAAAAGGTACATTATTTAGAAGGAAAAAAAAAAGGTACATTATTTAGAGAAAAAATAGGTTCGTTTAAAAAAAATGTTTTTTAAAAAAACAATAAATAGATTATCAAATTATTTTTCAACATAATTAGAATGTACACTATTATTTATAAAACTATAATAAAATAGATTACTAGTAGTATAATTCATAAAAGGAAAACAACATAATTTTTTTATTAAATAAACCAAAACGTTAATCACCTATAGATTACTAGTACGTTAATGTTGAATTTAATATTTAATTTCAAATAAGTTTCAAAATTAATTCCTACATTCATTACAACCATTTGGAAATCTTTCCAAATTCAACGTGTGTCATAAGTTACACCCCCCTCCCCTCAATAACACATTAACTTATAAATATGGGTAGTTTTGGAATCCGAAAAATACAATAAATCAGATTTCAAGTTATATTAGGTAACTTGCTTAGTTGTATCCTAGTCATTAGGCTTTATTTGATTGGGTATTTTAAATAGAAAAATAAAGGGAAGGGTTGTAGGTGATTTAAAATGAATTTTATGGGTCTAAGCTCAATTTACTTTTTATTTAATGAAATTACATGAACCACATTCATCAATCACATTGTAAAGACATTATAAATAAAAGTGTGATTTGGGCTGTGGATTCAAATGTAAATGCATGTTCAAATTATGGTATCGGCAAATTTGTGGCTCATCCAGTGATGGTGTTCGAATATATAGTTGAGCTATTTACACTAACTTCCTCACATTTGTTGATGGTGAGATTGAACCCTTCAAATAAACACCTCACTCTAAACTTCTCATTATAACTTTTCTGTACATTAACTTAACAAATAATTGTTGGTTACCTTTTGGGAGGCCTAAAAGGTTAAAACTGTAGACTAAAAAACTACTATGTTAGTTACCAGAGGTGAGTTTCTAATCTCCAATAAGAATTTGAATAATTATTGATTTCTATTGAGAGATGTTGAATTTCGTTGAGATAGTGACGCAACCACTAGAATTTGAAGATAAGTTAAATGTTATGATTATTTCTTAAGTTTTCATACAGAAGTTTAGTTTATTTTAAATATGATAGTCATATTTGTTTGAGGACCTTTTCTCTTGATAGGGGCGATAGCATACTAAATTCACACATTATACACGGATGTTAGGACTTGAACCCAAGACTTTTTTTGGGAGAGCAATTGCTCCAAACTACTACACTAGTGGATCCGTTACAAATATGATAGCCATATTTAAAATATGACGATATGAGAGAAAAGTTCTTTGGTTCATATTAATCCTAGAAAACATATCAAATGAAAAAATAAAAAAAAGCTAAACAAAGTGTAAACAAATAAGGTGGCCCATCAGCTGGGCCATTTTGCCTTGCCTTGTGATTCATCAGAAATTGGTTAGTGGAGGGTCATGCCTTTCTTAACAAACTAATTCATATATCTCACCTTGATACCAACAAATATTCAATATATACTAATGATATAGAATAAGATTGATTGCTGATACTGTTGGAATTATTCTTAGGTTTTTCTTTTCTTTCTTACAAGCAACATTCAGGAAGGAAAAATCCAACATTAACTTTCATATACAAAAGTGAATGTGTCTCATTCCTTAAACTGCACGAGCCTTATAAAATTATTCATTATAAATACAGAGAATGCACATCCTTTCGTACTTTTTGGATTGCAAACAACGTCTCCAAATGCGTGTATATATTTTTTCATGATTATAAGAGAAAATTTGTCGTAAATTGTCTCAATATAGCTCTAATTCAACACTTGTTTGACTCTCTGTTTTCATATTCCTTATGGCCCTGTTTGGTGGGCTGAACTAGATTGGTTAGGATTGAGCTTGAAGTATTGGACTGGACTAGGTTAGACTTCAAGTCCTATTGAGTTGTTTGGTAGAACACTAGACTGGATTGGACTTAAGTCTAATCCATTGTTTGGTAGGCTTTTTATTACAAAACATCCCTGATGTTTGCGAAACTATCAGATTGCATCCTTAAAGTTTTTTTGTATCACTCATGATCCCTAACATTAATATAGGTGCTCTTAAATAGTCCCTCTATAAAATAAAAAAAACTGTTAAATTCATGGATATAATCGTCAAATCAATCCAAAATTATAATATATATATATATAAGTTTCTCTCTCCCCTCTTTCTTTTCTGTTTCCTTTCCTTCTCTCTCTCTTTCTTTTTTTCTTCTTTCTTCCTCTCCCTGAGTTCAGTCTTCTCTCTCCTCTTTCTTTTTTATTTCCTTCCCTTCTCTCTTTCTTTTCTTCTCCTTCCCTTCTCTCTTTCTTTTCTTCTCCTTCCCTTCTCTCTTTCTTTCTCTCCCCGAGTTCAGCCACCACTCTGGCTGTAAGTTCAATTATCTTCATCTTCCTTCTTGTACGAGTGTGAGGCCAATAGGAATTGAGAATTGAGAATTGTGTGGGAATTTGGCAGGTTTCTCAGCTTCGTAGGACTGTTGATTGGGTCTATACTCAGGTAGATTTCGTATAAATAATGGGTTTGTCTACGATTTTGTAAATTCGAAGCCTTTTGCTATATGTGAACCGAAAATCCTATGCTTGAGATGAAGTTCAGAGACCATGGCTAATGTAGTTAAAAGTGCTTAATTAGAAAGTAATTCTTTTCTTTTCTTTTCTTTTCTTAATTAGAAAGTAGTTCAGAGCCCATTTGCGAGCTCATTGTTGAAATGGATGTTGGCACAGCTGTCCAGCTTGTGCAATAACAAGAAGAAGAAAAAAGAAAAAGAGAGAGAGAGAGAGAGAGAGAGAGAGAAGAGAGAAGGAAAGGAAATAGAAAAGAAAGAGGGGAGAGAGAACTTATATA